AAGAAAAAAAACCTAATAATTTGTTACCAAAGATAGCTAAAGACGTGTCTTTGAAAATGATTTATAGAGGTTATAAATGTGAGTGATAGCTTCTTAATAGAATACTGAAAATGGAATTTATACGATTCCCACATAATTTGTATCATAGAAACTAATTTGTTGACTATTTAAAATCCTTACAATACTCACACAAACCATACCGTTACTCGTGACTTAAAAAGTGAAAATAAAATTCAAACAAACAGAACTTTACATCTAGTAGAGGACATTAAATATTCGTTATCAATAAAACCTTAGCCTATGTACAATAAACGTTATACAAACGTTTATTAATACCATTCATTACATAGCTTGAAAAAATCTAGCATAACACGCAAATCATTTATTAAATAAGGCACAAATATTTGCGAAAATATTTGAAAAGCATATTGTGTTATATGGTATGACAATGAAACACTAATTACTAATTAAATATGTTTGTATGCTTTAACTAAAATATTGCCAAATATGTTAATAAAACTGTTTTCACAATATCTTTGATAAGCAAACCAGTGGCGCTACAACCATTTAAGTCTGGGCCTCAGATTTGTATATGTTTCGTGATTATTTGCTTTTTTCTAATAGGCAAGTGGTGAATAGCCTTCTGTACCGGAGACATGCCGTCGACTTTTTGGATCTAAGGCATATTTCCTCATGATTGTTTTTCTGCACCGTACGAGAGAGTGGTTAAATGCGCACATAGACAGAAAGTCCAGTCCGGTTCGAATCTACGACCTCAGAGAAGGGAGTCACACGCTGAAGTCACTAGACCGATTATTAAATAGCTCAAGATTGGTTAAGATATATGAAACGTGTAAAGTAGATAATGCGTTGCTAAAATAAAACATCGAAAATGATCTTATAATGATCCTAAGTGACACACAACATTCAGAACTTAATGTAGAAACATTAGGTCACATTTATTATTAAATTCAATATTTACAACTAATCGTGTTGGAAGCTCAACGCAATTTTCATATGATTTCAACTAGTTACTTACAATATCGTTACATCTATAAAATGTGTACATAAAAACGTTCAGAATTATAATGGGAAAGCTATTGAAGTAAACAAAAGTATTGTTCGAGAAACAAGCAAGTTGTATCGGAAAACATTGAATAAATCAAAAACTTTTTGATAGGAATAAATTAGCAAAACTAACCTTACGCCACTTTTGGAAGACGTTCTTTAAAATAGCGAACTTACCTAAATAGGTTATATACAAGAAGATTAAGAATGTATTCTCATGGTCTCACTGGCACGAGTTCATTTAAAACGTTTCTTGATATTGTATAGAACATAGTCTTTATGTCTCGGACTCTAAACTTTATATCAAAATGTGGTATTTTATTGAGTGAATGTATTCAAAGTTCATTCTCATGCTAATGGTAAGCCAGATTCAGAATAATCCTAAACGACTTATTAAAACCAAAAGTGCAAAAATTATGATTCCAAAAGTGAAATACATGAAACGCTATACGAAACTCTAGATTTCGATGAACCTAATTATAAAGCGTTACGGATTATCTGTTGACTCCATCAAATCAAATTTACAAGTACAATGGACATCATTAAAAACGAATATACTATAATTAATGGTAAAATTATCAACGGATTTATTGCTGAACGATATACAACTTAAAATACACTTAACATTAACACTATACACTAAAGACATCGAAAGAAATATAGGAAAAGAATTCGTTAATTATTAACCTATGTTGATCAGCTATATTTACATGTCAACCTTTCAGTAAAGTCAATTCTTAAAATTACTGACAGCCATTTGATAGCTGACTCTGAGCTCTCGCCCTCCCACCCGATGTAGACAAACTCGCAATCAAAGAAATCTCACTAATTAAACACATTCGAAACTACACAAATGAAACAAACAATGCACAAACTTACGGAGAAATATGTCAAATTTAAAAAGAAGTTAACCTAGGAAATCATTAAGAAATATGTTTAAAAGTAATGTACCGTCGAATTTAAATGGGGATTTATCTAGGAAAGTTAAAGTTAGTACAACAAATTTATCTAGCATCGGGTTATCGAGCTGACTCATTCGTCGACTAACTCTAAAACATTGAGAAGCTAATGTAACTACTTATAATTTAGACGTCCTCAATGAATATCTTATTTCTGATGAACTAGCGTAATTTAATCTTCTCCTATCTACCACCATACGAAAATCTATTTTTACCCGTTTTTCACCCGAAATGGTACTAATGTACGTCACCAAATCATCATAAAAATCGAAACCATTTCAACAATATGCCTTTTAGACAATTTTTACAACAAAACAGGGTCTTTAGTATTCAACTGTAAACAAGAAAACAATTTGAGCTAAGGCATATCAATCAAAATCGATCATAAATTTAAAAGAACTCCACTTAATTCACTTCTCTTTCAATATTAAGGTAATATTACAGTATTATCAATCGTTGTATCTGCTTAGCTCATCCAATTACAACAAAACTACGGGTCTACGCTAAAATACATTCACATCAACATTCATACTATGCATTCATAACTTACCGAAATATTATTGCAATGATAGTTCATTGAACGAAAAGAACAACTCTTATGTTTATTCGTCTCAACTCCCTTACGGAGCGATATTTACAAATACATCGTACCACTATCAACTAGTATTATTTTAATCCATTAACATTCCTGTCCCATTATTCTATGGTGTTTAGAAAATCTAACTACATATTTTTATTCATATAAAAATAACAACAGAGTTTATTCCCTAGCAAATATCTACAATTAAATTAGATAATCACGGAACAGTGAGGGAAGCTAGTGGACTTAACTACCAGTATTGATAATACTAATTTGGTGTGTTTCGGTGCGTGCAATAGCACAGTCCTACTTCGATTAATATAATACTCATATGCGACTTATAGAAAAATTATTGAACAATTCCATTCGAAATTCCTTTGAACCTAAAGTTGAGGCAGACAGCTCCAAGATACCGATTTACCGTATCCTACGATTATGTGACAATAAAAGGGAGGCAATCCGTTAGACGCGAGTTCCCATTTATCACTGTTCGCATGGTTTACCTACGTGACTCCCACATCGAACCTAATTTCTATCCATCCTGACTTTGAGCTGCTTTCTAGCGATTTTTGCTTCCGTTCGGAATGGTGGGTACTATATTTCATTCAACCTTTAGCGAGCGTCCGACAATGCATTAGCATTGTCCATAATGAACTACCATTTAACCTAATGTAGACTATTCAATGTCTGTATGAGTACAAACATCTAAACACATTCAACAACACATATTATAAACACTATGACAAATCACACTTTACGAATTTATTTCTCTATACCATTCCCTGTTTTCCTATCGCTCGCTGTGTTTATTAAAATATTAATAACTTCTGATTTAACTAGGTTATCATTATCTAATAATCATGAATTACTTTGACATATCAAAAACGCGGCTCGAAATTTTTTATTTATTATTATTACGACACATTCTACAATAACTACCGATGGATTAATGCGGTTTATAACATGAGGCGCTTACATGCGCTACGCATGTGAATTCTACCGTTTAGAATATGAAGTGGAGAGGTACGAACGAAATGAATAACTAACTGATTCTAAGCTAGGGAAAATTTACACTACCTAAATTGTTAATGCCTTAATTCACAAACCTCAACAATGAATTTATTATCTAAGACGTGAAGTAGAGTGCCGATAAGTGTGTAAAAGACAATACAATCGGTGAAATCGTGAGATTACAAATCAGGAATAGTTTGTGTACTAATTTTACCCTGTACTCTAGGATTGGTATCGAAGTTACAAATACGTAATTATTATGTAACATAATTTAATTTATCCAAAAAGAATAGACACGAAGTCTTACGATCAGTCGTTGCTTTCTTGGGCAAGCAATAGAAGTGACAGACAATGAACAAGCACAATATTATAAAAACGAATGGAAAATCTTAAAATTGTCTCAGTTGGCGTTTTCGAAACTATGAAGTTACTGGCAATATTTGGCACACAGATAAAATTTAATTAATTAAACAAGTTATCAAACTATCTAATAATACTGAGTTTATAAAAGTTATATATTACAATTGGCAGTCAATTGTTTTATTGAAATCTAGTCAAACATCACTGACGCGATTCCTGTTAATAAACTATTTTGGCTTCATAATATTATGGGAGTCCTTTATTTCTTATTCTGGTATCTAGGTTAAAATCTAACGATATCTACATCTTTAATTAATCTACAGGGCATATTATGTTTTCATATTATTCATATTGTCCATATTACTTTTACGCGAGTACGCAGTTTATAAAATATTAAATGTATAATTTTCAATACTTATTTCACTATCAATATTACACACGTTCACAATGTCCTACACACCGAGGACGTTGCACGAAAATATTTTATACGTATTTACGTCACAAACTATGAAATAATTATATAGTTGATACGAAATTGCTTTTATTATACTTAACGTTACTGAATTGAGCTCGATTTTATTCGAAGTAAACCTTACCTTACCTTATTCTTTTAAATACATCGAATACGTAACTAAAAAATTGTGAAACAATTATCCTACAGATAATTCAATGTTGTGCGTCGTATTAAATAATTACTGTAAACAAACGTCAAAGATACAAAATAGGCTTATACGCAACGACGATCAGCGATCCTTATAAAAATAGTTATGGCAGATCTGGCGTCAACACAAAACGCCCATTCCGTTCTCGATTCCACTATTGACAGACACAGTTTAATAGAGTTTGTATAAAAGACGGTTTGTAACGCACGCGGTATAATGTTTATCGCACTGCACTGAGCACAAGAGTCCTCGCCGAACAATTCCCAATTGGGAGCTTTACATAGATCATCCATGCCACCACATGACGATCAACTCCCAGAACGTCTTCGGCGGCGAGTGGCCGAAGACGTATGACGAATTTCAGAGACCTGGGTCTCCTTCTGAGCCCATTTTGAGCAACTCCAACTTCTTTTTCGCGATCTTTGAATACAGAATATCTATGGGTTTCGTGTTGTCGTAAAAAGTTGGCGCTCTAAAAATGATTAAAGCCGTGCCGACCACACAAGCTATCGTAAATGCAAATAGGAAGATTCTATCTAACACCATAGCTACGTACTTCCAGTCGTCTTCCACCTGAGAAAAAGTTTAATTTATGAATCATAGATACAATTAATTAACTTGAAAAAATAATTTTACAAAACACTTACGCTTTCAAATTTATCTTTGTTTTTTACATGTTGAGCAATGAACCTGGAGCCTTCAATTGTTTTTTCCATTTCCCTTACGAACGGTTTTTCTAACGATGGGCTACCATCGTCTAAGTCCAAGCGGCAAGGAGAGCCAGGTGAAGGAGAAAACAGTTCATCATCACCACCTGGAGGAGGAGGGGGAGAAGGTGGCATACCCGGTAGTTCATACTCTTCACAGGCCCACTCTTTGAACTTTCCATCCATATCATCTCCACCAAAAACGTCAGTCAACACCTAAAACATAACATGGTTTATATTTTACTCTTATAATTATTCTTATTAAAATATTATGCTTAATAGCGTCAGATGAGGTTTCACTGAAAATTCAAGGATGTTAAGCCATTGAAAAGTCTAGCAAATGAATACGTCTGAGTGAAAGAGTCAATGTATTGGTAGCTTAAGCTGGCACACAATTAGTCTCGAGTAGGTTTTCGGTTTCGGGCCGCGTACCGGCTCGTATATCGCGATCCGTCCGCAGCCACTGGGGGAACATAAATAACCAGAACCTCGCGCTCGTTAAGCCCGCTGGCGTTGAGTAATAAAGGAAAATCGAAATGGAATGAAATTGGGCTGAAAACGATACTTTAGCGATACACTCTGAGTACAATGTATTTAGAAAGTCTTATAAAGTCCCGCGCGTCAATTAAAACTGTTATTGTTGACGGCATTGAATCCGCCCCTACAGCACACTGTTTGTATTGAATCCATTTCGATGGGAAATGTTTTGAATAAAGAAAACTTGATGAGCAAAGCTCTCGTGTTTTTTCTTTTCAAAAGGATTCTTTGAAAATCTTTTTTCTTGAAAGCTTTTATTTTACAAATTTAATTAAGCATCGTGTCGGTATATTAAGATATTTTTGCGTTCGAAAGCGCGATGAAATTTTTATGTAAGAATATTTTCAAGCTTCAGGTTAATTAATGATTATTATTTATATTTCTTACCTCTGTAGGTTTGTCATTGTCATCGTCATCGTCATCAGGTGGTTTTTCTGGTCTTTGAATACACAATATTTTAGGTAAAAAATCTATAAAGACTTTGCGCACCCATGGAGCCATATTGTGAGTGACTGGGGACCTAAAATTTACATTTAGCACCACGATTGTGACAACTACAGATAGAGTGACTAGCATCATAGTAAATAATAGATATTTGCCTAACAGTGGAACCGTCAATGATGTTGGGGGAATAATTTCTGCTAACAACAAGAAGAACACAGTTAGGGACAGCAAAATAGAGATACATAGTGAGATTTTCTCGCCAGAATCGGAGGGTAAGTAGAATACTAAAACTGATAAGAATGATATTCCGACACAAGGAATTATGAGATTAACTGTGTAGAAAAGGGTTTTTCTTCGTAGAGTGAGATTGAAAATAATGTCGGGGTAGGGTTCTTCGCAGCAAGAGTAGAATTTTTCATTTCGTGTAGCTGGCACTCGCATAATATCCCATTCTACAGAAATATAGTACTCGGATAAGTCAATGCCCATTCCTATGTGGTCCGAGTCTGGCGTCTGTTTTAAATGTCTTAAATCCACCTGCAACATACATTAAGACTTTAACCATAATTTTTCTTCTAACTTCCAGAAAAATCAAGTATCTACAAGGTTCAAACAAACACATTATGTCTATAAGTTTACGATAACACGAAAAATCATATTTCTATCATAGACATTCAAAGAAAATAACAGATAAAAAAACGTAGGCTTTGATGTTCAAAATCTTCAAACAGATCTTAAAAAAAGGTCCCTTCTGAATCAAATCAAAACAACATCCCTTGAACCTTATTACGTGTGGCATAAGACATAAATAGAAAGCTTAGTTTTATTTATGTGAAAGTCGGAAACACAGGATTTATTGGCTTCCTCAGTTCGATTGATGACGGCGTCTTTTACCAGCCTAGCGTCATTAACTGTATTTCGAGCTTTTATCACACCGGGCGATGTGATCCTATTTGTCATACGACTTAGTATATTTATAAACAAAGTTTATTTTATCAATACTTAGTAGTTAAAGCTTAGCATCTGCCACACGTGGGGCCAATTAACGATACTTGTTTATGCGCGCTTGCTTAGTTAGAAATTTGAGAGGTACTTATATGAAACCAAAATTTGGCGATTAAAAAGAGTAGTGGAGTTTATTGCCAGTTCTTCTCTTCCGTCCCATGCCCTAGATTTGAGAACTGGCAGTAAATTAGAAGCATTTTATATATTTTTTTTTTTGACGTTCATAATTGTACATTGTGTTACCTATATGAATAAATGATTTTGATTTGATTTTGAATTAATCCATATCTATCAACAGCAGGAAAACATTATCCCCAATATTGATTCTGAATGTATCCTTAACACTAGAGACGAAAAGTTCTACAGATTTGAACTGGTCCAATTTCAACCATTTATTTCGTGATTTAAACGAAATACAATATAAATTAAAACAGCTTTCACATCCTGTCCAGAATATTGTGTTTAGTAATGTTACAACGTATATTATAAGATTGTAGAAATAGTCCCGCGTCTACGTACCATTGTATCATGGATTTTCAAGTTAAAATAATATAATACAAAATAAATTAATAAAAGCACTATTTAGATAAAAAAATTTAACACAGACTAATAAAATTTACCAAGAAACTAAAATTATGACGATTAAACAACTATAGCTAACTAGCTTATCATTTAAAAAAAACAAACACACCAATACACGCAATACTCGTCGAGCGAGTTTGCTTATCTTGTCGAAGCCGCGTACAAACTAATTTAAAGAAGTCTATTAAGTATGAGGGTGTGCAATTATTTAATTAATTACAGTCTAAAATTCTTAATATTAACGCGTTTAACCAATTCAAAAGGTCATTAAAGATACATATCAGACTAAAATTGGGACGGCTGATGGCGACGTGTATCTCGTTCGTATATACATATTAAGTTTCTCATGTAAATAAAATACATTCTTTTTTTATAATGAGAAATAAAGTTCTTTAAACATTATAATAATATCAGTGGTTAGTGAGAACGTCTAGAAATTCATTATAATTATATTAAAGATGGTTTCTTTACAGTACTGCAATTTAAAGAGTAATTTTCAAACTGTCACATACCGTATAACCATCGTAACTCCACGAGCCAAACTTCATGAAGCAGGTCTGCTCGTCAAAGGGGAAGTACTCGACGTCAATCTCGCAGAATGACTTGTAGATGGCAGGAGGTTTCCAGACGACTTTGCCGTCATAATGGAGGATGGCTTTAGTCATTATCGTCACTTCGTAGTTGCCGTCGGCACTGAAAAATTGTTTAGTCAGATATACCTGGTACATAGCAATATAGACTAATCTAATAAAATTTAAAAACCCGTTTGTGAAAGAATACAATATCAGTGATTTTCAAAAGAGAGATTTAAAATTAATTAATAGATTACAATCAAGTATTACAAATTTAAACTTTTTACATTTATTTTAATCTTCTTTTTAATAATTTTTATTATTACCTTGTAGGTTACGAAAATTGTAAATACTGTATACTTAAACATATTAGTTTAGACACTTTAACAAAAGCATGGTAGGTGAGGAGAAAAATTATAACAACTTAAAGTTTTTATAATTTTTCTTTTTATAAAAGAAACAATGACAATTGTGTTTTGTTTTAAAAATAAAAATAAGGTCAGGTAAGGTAATATGGCTGATAAGAAACTCAATAGTTACTTTATAGCATTTTTATGGATATTCAAACTCAAAATAACTTTATTCATATATAACAAGACTTGTGTCATTTAAAAGAGTAACGTTGTCATTCCAAAAACCCACTTTACCTTTCGAAAAATTCACGATTCAAATTCTGTGTAAAAAGTTTGCTATATGAGGAAAATTAATGGCATTAATAATTTCCCCGAATTAATTAAAAATAAACAATGTGAAGATGACATAATAAACGTAGACGAGCTTAAAAAGTAATTTCATAAAATTAAGCTGTCAATTCCATCATCCATAAACACTTGATAGGCAAATTGTCTTCTAAAAGCTGTCGTACCTAACTTTTACATCCGTGAAAATTGTCTCATAAAATATAGGTCGCGTTGTCTTCCATTAGGCTAACGTTGCCATTAAAAATAAAGTTTACACGAAATATTCGCGAAAGCTTTTAGTAGTCTCAGGTGCATTACAGTAACCTCTAACTGCCTAAATGTAAAAATATAAGATGAGAGAAATTATTTGTCTCGATGTGGTATTTTATGGCTAAGTGGTTTTGCGTATGGGCATTGGATTTGATCACGGCGGGTAGTACAAAATGTATATCGTAATTGGCTCGGGCCACTTAAATAGGATATCTATTCTAGAAATATCTTTGCAATGGCTTATATGAGTTAAAAATCTATTGTCATTATACATATATAATGTTTCGCTATCATAATATAATAAGACTGACTGTAAATTGGAGTAAGTAATTTATGTTATTTATTATAAGTGAATCGGAGAGTTAACTTAAAATGCATTTGTTCATGACATTTACATGAAGGTGATAGTAATCTTATCTTAATATTATATAGATTGCGTTCCCATATCGTGGCTTTATTTATGTATTCAGTAACCGTTATATTATTCAAACCCTTAAATGTTAAGGGTCCAACCCTAAATTTATATTTTTATTTTTAGATAAAAAAAATGTTTTTATTTTTTTATGATACAGCATACATACAACCCTTAGTTTTCACCCCTCTACGATCAACAAATCTTATTTATGACTTGAACTCTAAGGTTTATCTAGAGAAAAATTCACAGAAAAACCTACAAAGTTTTCATTTAAAAGAAAACCGAACAGTCTCTAGGGTATGTGCTAAAAAGGTAGGCTAAGTAAAATCACATTAAAGAGAAACGAAGTTCGCGGGGGCACCTTGTCTATAGTAAAATAGGTAGAGTCACTTGTTTTTTTATTAGAACAAAAGCCTGTCCCTTTTCATTTCTTAAGTAAACCCTGAGTTTGACGCGATTTATTATAGTATGTTTAATTCCACCTAGATGCTATTTAGATTAAAGACTATACTTATCACGCTTTCCGGCTGGCCAACTACAGTTGCACTTTACCACTGTGTAAATACATTCGACTTTGAACCATATTCCCAACAATTAAGTTCGAGAACGGATATAAATTCTTTAATGCGCAGAAATGCGGTGAACTGCAGTGATAATGGGTGACTTCGGAAATATATGGGGTTTTTAAATAAGCGTACTGCTGTAGCTGCGATAGCCCTGGGATTAAACTTGGCAGGGCACGAATAATCATTTCTTTATTTGTTGACATTATAAGCATTTTATGTTGTATATGAAAATTCACGGAGAACTGATGCACTATTTTAACGGGTGTCTGTGGTGTGATATATGATAACTTGATGCACTATTTTAAAGAATTATATGTCCCAATATCTAAGGTGCCCTAACTTACTACTTACTTTGTTGTATATTAAATATAAACGGATACAAAATGTAAAAGTTTGACGCAGGAGTGAGGATTAGTGTAATAAAACTGATTTAATATTTATTTATGGCCAAATGTAATGTCTTGAACGTTTTAAAACGTACTAAAGAGTGCATTTTTCAATAATCAAGTTTGTTATATTAATATTTTGCTATATTGCAAGTGTAATTAAAAAACTCGGGGTCTGCCGCGGTAAAGCTATTGCACAGTATTATAATAATTTATTTATGCAGTATTTTTTTTCTTTGATATTAATTCAATCTACCACTCTGCCAGACTTAGATCAGCCTAAATAGTCTGTCTCACTCTAACGCGTACCGGCTGCCGGCCGCGCTCGTCAAAAAGATGTGAATAAGCATTATGCGTTCTGTCCCGATCTAACGCGTATTGGCCGCAACTGTATTAGGTACGTCATCGTGTGTTAGGTTATTGTCGTTACGGAATTTCTTGATTTGGTTGCCGCGCTCAAAGCCCGCGATAAAATCTATGCAATAGCTTAAAAATAAATCCGCTTATTATGAAATCTGCAATGGAGGCTGACTTTTCAAAGTAATCTATAAACTGATAGGGAAAACCGCTGACAACTTCCAAACTCCGAACAACATTGTCACCCTGAAAAATTACTTTAGTACTGACAAGGATAATTCTTCCGCATAAAACGATATAGCTTCGGTTTTTGTCGTGAAATAGGAACGATAAACTTGTCGAGTCGTCGTGATAATGCAGAATAATGGGACCCGTCCGTGAAACAAGGAGATAAGGGGACCACCAAATAAAATCACATTTTATAGAAGAAGTTTGCGTTCATTGAAAGAAATGGGGCCTAAAGTTGGGACAGGGACACAGGTTCTGAGAACTTTCTTAAATTGATTTCAGAGTAAACAGCCTTCAGTTAGATTAATGTCGGGTCGCTGTAGGGCATTTAATTAAATCCTCCTTTGAGAAAGATTAGCGTCTAGATTGGTTGCATTTACTTTGTTCAATTAAACCGATTACTAATATGCTATTTATTTAAATTACGAACGTAAAAATAGTTATATAATGGCGTATTTTATAACATGGACGTCAAAAAAAAACGTGTGACACTCGGGGACTTCCGCGGTAAAGCTATTGCGTAATTTTTTTTTCAATTTATGAAATTTTTCGCGCGAGGTTTTTTTCGTTACGGAATTTCTGGATTCAGTCTCCACGCTCGAGGCCCGCGATAGAAGCTATGCAATAGCTTAAAAATATTTTACTATCATATATCAAAATCGTAGAGCTTTCGTTTTGCCTAGCTACTGAAAAATCTGCGTTAAGCTCTAGCCACACACAAAGTAAAGGAGGTGCTTAGCAATTCAGTACACAATAATATTTCTTAAACAACAGGTAAGGCTCATATGGGGTAGATGAATTACCACCATTTTCAACTGAATTAATTGTATTTAATGTTTTGTTACAATTCACTTATAATATAAAGAAGTCAAAATATGTGCATCAAATACAAAGCCACCAAGCGACTGATCACGTACCACCCGGTTACCTGAGTGCACGCACACATTCGCGCGAATCATGCAAGACCAGTTTTCTGTGCGTACGTGCGTGATGTATGTGTGTGTGTCGATAAAAATACATTACATATATAATTATATATGCTACACTTACTTATTGTATAAGACTATATCTGGCAGCCATATGTGTTCTGAAGGCACGTGCAATGTTTCCACTCCACTGTAGTCGTCAGGATTCCATTTGAGCTTATAATCATTCCACTCCTGCAAATAAAAGATTTCATTTAATAACATAATTATATGTAACAATATGTGAAAGTACTCTTATAAGGTACTAGCTGGTGCCCGCGACTTTGTCTGCGCAGGATTAAAATAATATTTTTTCCAAATGATGCAGCGTGAAAGACATATTTTATCTACTTTAAATACCTGAAGCGATATATATTTCAATATAGGTGATTCCTACAGTACATTACCATATGTGCATTTGATATACATACTGTGGCCGGCTTTTTTGTAGTACTATTTAAGATAAATATTTCCATCATATATTACCTATGTGTAACTCTAGTGGTTTTGGCAGCGCACGCCAGAATAGCTCGCAGATGGTATATTTATTCCTATTTAATTGATATTTTTGACTTTTCACACAATATCTTTATAAATTGTAGCCTATGTGTTATTCTGATGTATAAGCTATATTATTGTAAAGTTTCATTAAAATCCACACAGTAGTTTATACGTGAAAGAGTAACAAACATCCATCCATACTTACAAACTTTCGAGTTTATAATATTAGTAGAATCTTCGTTAGTTTATGACTGAAGCTTATGATCATAATATACAATATTTCAAGCAACTAATAATAATTTTAAAGCTGAAAATTTTACTTTTGATTACGTTTTTAAGAAATATTTAAATTTAAATAAAGGGTATTACAATGGCGCAACGTAATGAGTGACAAAATGGTCAAGAATTCTCAATTGACGCCTCAAGCCAGAGGTCTAATAAAACAGCCCAATTTCCGACCACGTCCCAAGTTCCTGCCCCTTCAACCTCTTAAGAACCTTTGAAATCCGCCTTGCGTCGTATGAAAAAGTAAATTAAGCGATATTTTGGGCTTGAAAATTATATTTTAATAATTGTCCTTTTTTTATTTAGACCCCTTACATATTTTAAAGCTCACAAATAATAAATATTGTAATTTAATTTATTTATTACATTATTGTATAATTAACCAGAAGTAGTTCTAATAAATTACAATAGGCCCGATGTGGCTGAGTTAACGAAACAAAGATCGTTATTCATGTCAACTTCGTTTTAGTAAGTAGTAAAATTGTATTATTTTAACAATTCGTAAATATTTCTAAAATTAACTAAAAAAAACTGTGATACTGTTTGACATTCAACACCTTTTGTCTTCAGTCACCGTGACCACGCACGCTGTAGAGGACGCGAAACGTCGAAAATATTAAAATTATGTAAAATAATTGTAAATTTATAATAATACATAACTTCAATCAGGTAAAAAAGTGTTTTCTTTAAATGTGTAAAAGTTATGTCAATAAAAGACAATACTATAATTATAAGCATTTATTAACCTAAAAATAGAAGACAAAGACGCTAGAAAGGCAACTGTTACACGTTCTATAATGAAAGTCAATTATTATTTTGGCGAAGCTTGTACGGGGAAATTACTGTAGCTAAAACTCAATTTGAAGAACGTTGACTTAATGAAAACGTCTTTGTAAATAACCACGGGAATTTAGGTCATGTTAGAAGTAAATTCACGCGGACTCTTGTGAAAAATGTTTAGGGATTTGAAATATTTTAAATGTGTAAGACTTTAATTTTATTCACGAGTCCGATTTCAACTGGACTTTTTTCTATATGACATTATTAGGATTTATGGTCCACGCTAATTTTTAAATATAGAATTTAAATGCCTACCTATCTATGTGACCCTGGTAATTACAATATCTTGTGTCGTCTTTTGTTTCTCAATCGTAAGTTATAGCGTAAGTAGGGAAAATCCTCTGTTTCAATTGTTATTATTAAATTAAATGTAAGTATGAGAAGGGTATTGGTATACTTTACATCAATTTCACTATTTGTTATTTCCAATTCTAAGAATTTGCACTAAATTATCTAATATATATTCAAATGAGTTCATAAAGTCCTAGTCGTTTGAGACAATAGTTTTAATTTTCTATCAGCAACGACTTTTTATTTTATGTATATGTGAAAGTGATCCGTATAGAACGTTTATAATACAAGAGGTCGATTATCCCTAGTTCTAAAAAAGACGCGATTTCAACGATACAACTTTTAAAAAATATCGTAAGTCAAACAAAAATCAAGTGTTGTGTTCCATTGTTTGATCAAGTATTCAGGTCGGCGAATGAATAACTTTTGTTGCCAAATATCAACAATGCTTAAACAAACTTTGGGGTTGTCCTGCTAGTGTACTTCTTTTTTGAAATTACTGTTGAAGAATGTAGAAGATTTTGTAACTAGATAATACCTACACATTCATAATAGTGTTTAGCATAGAGGTTATATGTGATTCTATGCACTGAGATCGTGCGGTTTACCCTAGTCTGTGCACCAATTGTTTGTTTAATCTTTGACGTAATTTAGGGTGCCTACTAGTGAGCTTTCTTTAGAATTATGAACAATGAAACAGGCTTAGTATTTTGTCTCCTGCATACCAAAACGGAACGTAAGATCAGTAACAACAGTAAAGATGGAATTTGTAAGAATAACGTTCGAATAGAATTCGTGCAATATTTTTTTTTTACTATTCTATACAATTTACATAGAAAATAGCAGGGAAATTTTCTATAAAAAAATACAGTAACTATTATACGTGCATATATGCGCCAAGGACTTACGATTATTACTTTCCCCTTACTATATATAAACATTAATTGAAATTAATATATTTAAACTAATTAATTTATCAATAATAATAAAAAATTAACTACATAAAATCAGAAACATTCAAAAGAATTACGTCAATCATGTCATGACTAGTTAAGTCCAACGTAAATTACTATAAATATTTTTAATGCAACCTTTTAATAATCTTTATTTATTCATAGCTTAGAAATTGTTGAACCGTAAATATGGAACATTTCTCGAGGGACCGAAACGTTAAATTTGTATTGGAGTTTATTTTGAATACTAAACTTCGATAAAAAATGTGTTCATTGGAGTATGAAAGTATTTTAATATCTACGTTATATTTCATCCGTAAGTTTCTAGCACATGTTACATCTTCAATAATTAAAAAAATATTTGGTTTATGAAATTTTGATACACTGATTTTGATGTGTTGTTATTTGACAATGGAACAAAGTCGCAAAACATGTCTAAGATTATCAATTACTTAATTTGACATAAAAATATAAGAATGTTTATTTAAATTTGTTAACTTTTTTTTATGGCTCTGGCACGATTTGTGCATTAGCCAGCGTCAAGTATAGGATTTTTTTTATCATTCGTGCTTGTCTTTAGAAATTCGACCGTGTCCTCCATGTACGGTTTAAGCACTCGCCCGGTACCGCACAACCATCCCAAAGGCCGAGAACAAATTTAAATTAAATTAAAACTTGCCCTCGAACCGGGAATCGAACCCGGTACCCCTCACCTAGCAGCCACTTAATAAGACCGCTAGGCTATGAGGCCCCTATTTGTTTACTTGACTTGATTCCATATTCAAATTATAATAATAGACGGTAAACTTCAACCCTCGGCTTTACAACAAAAGTTCATATATCCGAAGGGCGTATAAATATTTTCCATTCACCCAAAAATTCAAATAGAGTATTTTTCACAAGCCTTGTTTTCACAAACAACAAACTGTTTCTCCCGCCCATGAATCAAAGCCCACTTCAGATATAAATCTAGTGCAGATACAATATCGTATTATTTTTTATCCCCTGTCCATATCCGATACTCGTTAATCATTCTTGCTTGGAGTTAACACGTTTTTGAGTAATGACACGTGAATGGGGATTCTATTTTCCTCTAAAATGGGTTATTGCAGTTTTTATGAAAATAAATTAAAATCCTAGTCGAGCTATAATTTAAACTTAGTAGCAATATTGTAACTTTTTTATCTGTGTAGATTTATTTATAAATATAAAAATTATATTATTATTATTTATAATATTATTATATAATATTATAAAGTATAGAATAATTCGACATTATACGCCGCTCTCTTGCCTCCGTCAATGTTGCATTTGGAAAACATTTTTTAAATTTGTTTTAATAATTTTTATTATTACTTTGTAGATTTAGAAAATTGTAAATACAAATTATACGTATTATGTAATAAATAGAATAATATTGAATTACACCAATGCTGGAAAAAGGTTATTTAAAATATCCTACAAGCAATACGAAGCATTGTGTTTTCCCGTACAATTTATTTTATTTCTTATTAACGTCACCGAACTTTATAAGATATCGTCGAATCTAATAAAAATGTTATGATCAGAGTGAACTGTATGATTTATATTTATTTATTACATTCCATATTACGACATTATTTTTGGAGATCAAAATATTTATATGAAGCAATTACTTTGGTATGAAAACAAGAGTTCACAAGCATCACTTGTTTTTGTGCAAGGAAACATACTGATTATGTTTTATATTATTAAATACAAATTCACTAGTTTTGTAGCTTGCTATATAATTTTCTGCCCTAAACGAAACAGCATGCTGTTTTTTATTTATTTTTACACATTAATAACATTTTTGGGGTCATATTTGAATTAAATTCTAATATAAAAAAAAGTTATTTCTTAATATTATAATGATGTGATATGATACCGCTTCTTTTAGGTATTAAAAGATGGCTTTCCTTCCACCGTTTTAATAACAGGACGCATCGGTTTTGTGGGTTTAAATCCATCGTTTATCCTATAAGCGTAGCACAAAAAGTTTTGTTTTACAAACAACATTATTATATTATATATTTCATTTATTAAAAAAATATTTCTTATTATTTTCAAGTACATGTTCGGTAAATGCTTTGAAGGAACAGACATGAGAATTCACTTGAAGTTTTAAAAACATTAAACTCAAACAGTAACTTTGATAAACGAATCGCTACAACTTTAAGGAATTTCTTTTAGAAGTGCTTTGAGCTTCTTTCAATAAAATGACTTGTCAGGAAAATGCAAAATTATTGCTTTTTTACAACATCTCGTAACTTATTGGATGATTGCTACGATGTAGTAACTTGAAATAGCAAATATTTGTTTTATACAATAAAAATAGAATACAAACTTGAGACCTGAACATTTGATTTAAAAAAAATATGCATGATTATTTGATATATCCAAAAGGTGTATAGTGACTTATTAATCATTATAAGATTAAAGCATTTATTTATCTTAATTTAAATCTATAAAAAAAAACAAAATATAATATATTTATATAGGTAACGCAATGTAAACTTATGAACGTCAGTAAAAACATTTAAGCGTTGATATGATAGAACTGCCTCTTATTATATGTAGAGATAACCATGTACGATCAACATGTCATGTTTACACAAGTCACAGCCAGGATTGACCTGATTACTTAATTACCATTAAAACTTTCATGTTTACTGCTTATTACGAGCGTAAAAAGGGGTCAGAAGATATACACACGCTAAGCTATTACGATTATGCTGTAGCAAGAGCTACGTAGGCGTAGCACCGTAGCGTGCGATGCATCAAATAAATACATGTAACATTTTGTTAAATTATTTTAATGAGACTGGTACAAAAATTGAGTAATACTGGGTTTCAATGAGTGTATAAAATAAGTACCATACAATCATATAATCATAATTTTATTGTCTGTTTAACATATTTTATGACTGTAGTGTATCAACATCTTAATTTACAATGTATTTGTATGCTAGGTATTGGCAAAGTGTGTGGCCTTTTCATGTAAGATTTGCATAACAACATTTTGCCAAAGAATTCCATGACATTCTTTGTGGGTTATAGTTTTGACAGCGCCAAATGTATGTACTTTAAACTGTAGTATTAAAAACATAACCAAGAAAATAAATGCAGTTACATATTTTTTCTGTTATAAGTATAACATGTCCGATAAATAAGCCATATATGCTATAGCTTTGGGACTAAGGACCTTCAGATCATTGGGGATGGGATAAAAAGTGAATAGCAACACTATTAGTCAGGTTGTTATTGACGTGCGTCCTTCCTTTTGTCCAATGGGGATGCCCCATCATTTGTCAAGCTGTTACGGCCGATGTGACGTCTTGACTTTTCTAAATGGCTTTATTTGCGAACTAAGAAGGTTCGGTGTCGACATATTATATTTGTTTTATTTTTTAAATAATTCGAACAAGCTTTAGTTACATAATCTTTATGTAAGTAAGGGATATATGTGTGTAAAAAGTTAAAACTGGTATTTATATTTGAAAATTATCGGTTTCTGTGCAATTTATACCCCCCTTGTGTCATCATAAAATTCTTATAGCTTGCTATGAAAGCTATAGATAATTTAATTATAATTTTTAAATATTTTATTAAATATAACATTATTTAATAATACATCTTACCTGTTCCACCCACACGTTCGTTGTCATTATTTGATTCTTAAGATTCTGAAAAGAAAGAAACAATTCGTTAATGATTTGTAAAATCGAATATATTTTACAATAATTGGTAAACGTTTGAATAATTGTTATTTTTCTAACGATTAATTTGGTAAAAAAACATTCTTGTTAAAATGTTGATAAATTTAAATAGGCATATAAATTATATATATTTTAAACTGATAACAACGCTTGTTATCTAAATACAAGTTGGACAAGGCTGCCGCTGGCTACTTATAATATGATTCTACAGAATTTTAATTAAAAAGAAAACTCAATGATTCGAATAAAAGATATCTAAGAAGGAATCTAGACTTGAAGTTAGGGCGTGAGTTTAATGAAATTTCTTGAACAATCGAAGTCAGTTTTGATATATAACTGACGGTGCTAGAACTTTAGATAATGAAACTTAGTGAGTTGAAAATACTCCCGGAAGAAATGATTTTCGAGAAAAACCCTTACTTTAATAGCTTTAAAACAACGAAGTTTACTTTGTTTTTTCACTTAAGCAAACGTGTAAGGGAAGATTTTGGTTCTGAATATATTAAAACTAAATCGATGTAGGCTATACAGTCCAAAATATATATTTGACTTATGTCAAGTTCCGGAATTATTATTTATTTATGTAGAAAGCTATTTTAATTGTGTCTACTGGCATACATTAAATAAATATACTTATAGCATTAGCTTGATGACCAACTAAAACTCTTTAGATGTAATTTTGCTACCCAGCAGTTTTATATTAGAAAGAAAGAGGTAGATGTATAAATTCAAGTAAAGATAGAAAGGGACGCATGTGGCCGACGCCTCATTAAACTTTATAATTGGCTCGGGTGCTAGTCGGACGGGATGCAAAAACTGTATTTCATTATCTCGTATATGTTACTGGGTTAATGAATTTATTGTACTTTAGTCAAAATTGTACGGACGTAGTTATTAATATGATATTAATCGTGCATTAGGTGCAGAAAAACTGTACTAATTACACTGGTCTGGGACCTAATTAATCTGCATAATGTAGTCTGATGTATCAAAGATTTTAGTAAATAGAACAAAAGTAGATCTTGTTGATATTGGAATAGTTTTTAAATTGAAAAATACATTTTCTTTTTGTATGGCTTTATAAGTGTATCGCCACTTAATATTTTAGTTTAGACGGCCTTCACGGCCGATGGCTGGCCATGCGTCATACTCGTGAACGGGTGCTACTTGTGGTGACTGGTCGTACTTGAATTCGTGTATGCGGTGATGACCTTTGTTTAGAATTTTATTTCGACTATGTATTTGCATGTTGTTCCCACTCCTTACAAACGTTATGTAAAACAAAAAAACTTGGCGATAAAAAAGAGTGGTTTATTGCCAGTTCTTTTCTTCCGTTTTACGCCCTTGATTAGAGAACTGGCAGTAAATGTAAAATAAGAAGCATTTCATATATATATAAAGAGTTTATATATATATATATATACAAACTCTTTTTTTTGACGTTCATAAGTGTACAATGTACATTGTGTTACCTATATGAATAAATGATTTTAACTTTTGATATCGTTAACGTACTACGTAAAAAACAGTCAACCCCTAACGCTGTTAAAGTAGCATACGTAACATTTTCCTCTACGTGACAACCAACTTTATTTTAAACATCGTAAGTTAAAAATGGGAGCCAAGAGAATTCACAAACTCCTTACACAACATTACACACTCGAACACGGAACGAAACTTCCATTCTTGGAAACTCTCGGATTCCCTTAACTTTAATTACCCACTGCAATTGGGATCAAATAAAATTGCATTCCTTCGTAGCGAGAGATTGCTTTAAAATTGATAATGCGGTGGAGTGCAACAGATGTATTAAACTTTTCTAGGATGTGCTCGGATAATTCGCGCGTTCGTAATAGAGTAATAAATTTTAATCAGACCATATCTGAACTACAGTCTTACATTATATAATTGTGTTTCCATGTTAACGTCTTTAACTGAAATAATAATAAAATAAAGGAGTTCTGAGTTGTGTTTAGGTGTTATTAGGCACTAGATTGGATGAAATTTTTTCGTACTATGAGCGCTGGTCGGAGGATAATCTATGATATTTTGTAAATAATTTCAAGAACATTCCAAGTCCTCCTTTCTACACTTAGGTACTAATAATATAAATTAAATATTTTAATATATAATTAAATTTGTATAGTTTTATTACAATACAAAGCCTGCGTTTAATGTACATTTTGACATAAATAGCGCCTGTTCGTAACATCGTAGCAAAATCACGATGACGGCAGATTCCCAGTGCCCTAGCTCGCCTGACAAGGCCTCTACTATCGCTGTAATTAAACTTTGTAATTGCCTGCGAGGGCTCGCGGAGTTAGGAATAGCTGGATTAGTTAATTTTAAATATTTAACCACATTTGGGTTACACAGATTGCGTTTTTAAATTTGGATTAGTTTTCCAATTACAATAAAAGCTCTCGTGTATTAATTGTTTTTTATTTGTAATTTTTGAAATAAGTAATTACCAGTCATTTTTACGATTTTTGTTTAGCTATAATTAGTAAATATAAATATTTTTTAATTCTAAAAAAATGGGCGACGTTATAGTTTATATTACAATATAACTTATAATGTATATCTTGCTAATAAATAATATGATTCATATAGCGTTGATTTAGTATTCTCCTATTGTTAAACGAATAATTCAGAGTAATATGCACTATCCCCAGTTTATAATTGCCTGGTATTACAGACCTTAATGCTGTATGTAGATTGCCTTATTGTGTTCCACATAATACATATAAATAGTGATTATATGTATCACATACATATATGACAAGGGTTATCTCATATAATCACTATTTATGTTTTAGCTTAGATTCAAACAAAAAATATTTGCTTTAAATATCGAAACTTTTGCGTGATTTGTTCTAAAATTTCAAAAAATTCCTTGCATATTATAGCCAGTTGCGCAGTTAAGTAATGTAGTGGTGTAAAGGATAACGAACTCATGGTTTAATAAATTACGGAGAAAAATATTTATAGAAGGTTTTAGTTTTCCAGATGGAAAATAAAAACCAAAAAGAAAAAAAACACTGATCAATCATATCAAAAATTCTATATCGAAAAGTTATAAATAAAAAAATGTTTCGAACACATTGCATTTTTACACCCAATATTTTTTAGAAAATATTGTTAAAGTTTCTTAAAAATTCATTGGTTCATTAAAATGAAATATAGTTTTTTTGAAAAGCCAAACACAGACTACTTAATGAGATAAATTATCATCATCTGTATCGTTTTTGAGTTTTTAGAGATCAATCTATTTCATTTCAGAAATTTAATATTTAAAAGGTTCTCTTATGAAATCTCCAAAAGAAACTTCTGTAGGTTATAAATAATCTGTCTGTGGTACATTATGCGGCTTACGCCTCAAACTCCGTGAGCGCAAAAACTAACTTCCTGTAAGATTTTATGACGCCCCATGGGAAAGGAAATATCTTTTCTATCCCCTGACCTTGTTTTGGTAGATATAAATAAAAAGGCTCTACAAACGATCTAATAAAGGAACCTTCGTCACAACTCACTTTGAAATGTAATAGCATGTCGTATTAGGAATCGTTTTTCGAACTTTTAGATTTGAATTACGAATTTCGTTTAACTGTGTCGGGATGTATGTAGTGTTTGAAAAAAAATTAACGTTTAGTCGTATATATATATTGTGTAGTGTAGTGTGTAAGTACGTAAGCTTTCAATAGAGAATGGAGCCGAGAACATTCTGCGTTTGTTTTAGGGATATTACAAGACTAGAACGCACGTTTACTATTTAAAATATAAATAAAATTAACTATTTCAGTTTGAGGAGAGTATCCTTTGGTTAATTTATGGACTCAATTAGTTTTTTCTCCTTTGTGTAAACTCGGGGAACCACTATGTAAGAAAGTTGATAAATATTATGCATGAGATAATGTTTCGTGATAATTTTTATGCCTAATAGGCATGTAGATGTCAGTCTTCTTTTCTCGATTTTCTGTCTAAGGAATGTTGCCTTCCTCACGATTTTTCACGGTTTTGAATGCGCACCTTTAAAGAAAAATGTATTGATATACAACCGTGATTAGAACGCATGATCACCGTGTTAAGAGGTGCGTGTTTGAGAAGTGGCTTGCCTAGTAAGACAAACACCGCTCTTTTATAATTTCATGCCGTGGACAAATTAAAACGCGCAGAGCACAATTGGTTTATTTATAAACGTTAGTCAATAGTCATTACAATTATTCCTTCATTCTAAATAAAAACAAGCAAAAATACAGTCATAATACTTCAGTAAACGAAATAATAACTAAAATACGCGTTCTGAATAATTTAAAACAATATTTCGACTATTCTCACAATAGAGAAACCCTTTTCTGCTATATCCAAAGTAAAAAATCACACATTAAAATAAAAGCGTTCTAACAACGAAAGGTCAACAAATTTTGGTCAGCAAGAAACGTACAAAGGGTTTCGATAACTCAGCTTTATTTTTGGTACGTGCGAATGACACATACTGTGAACGCGACACTGATGGAGAGAATCGAATAAATTTAGGTCTTCACAGGGCTGTTTTAGAAGTTATAAGAGGATTGTAGTACAGTACTTGCCTACCTTTGAGTGGCTTCTCTGGATAGGGTGAGGGAAAAAGGCATTGGCATGTGTCAGAAGGCATGTTTCGCCTGAATAAAGGAAAATTTAAAAAAAAATCTGAGGCCAAAACTAAACGTGTAAGTATTTATTTTTAATGGAGGTGTATCGAATGGCAACCATGGAGCGGGAAAAAGAAAAGAAGACAGTGCATAACCAGGAAAGAACGGAAGTTGTTGACCGTGTCCGATACTGACTGTTAGTTTGCATGGCCATGGGCCACAATAATAAAAGGTTCGATTTCATGTCCTAGTTTCCAGTTAGAATAACTTGAAAATTGACATTCGAAATTACATCCAAGATAATATGCGACCAAACGAAAATAATCGTTTAATGTACTAAAGAATAAAAATGATAAGCGACTTCTAAATTCGGCCATGAGACTTTACCGAATTTACAGCGCCATAGAGTCAAGATTTGTCATTGTACGCAGAATGGCACTGGCGGCATTCCAAGTTCATCTGTCAAACTATACCTACTCTTTGGCACAGTCGCCGATAGCGGCAATCGAGAGTGCTTTTGGATTTCATTTTGCGATAATAGTTTAGACTTTGTTGGCATTCGAAGTTAAAATGTAATGTCATTTTTAAAACAAACAATTGTTTTTAATTCTCATTTTATCATATTTATGTAACTAGGGCGTAAACTTAGAAGAACAGTGCGTAAGTATGAAGATCTATCTATGTAGGCTTTCGAGCACGAGTGCTAATTTTCGTAAGTGTCTGTTTGTTTGTCCATAAGTTTTTCAGCAAGTAATAGTATCGATTTATTTATCAAAATTAGTTTAATAGTTTTTAATAAATTAAAACTAGCTGATCCGGCAAACGTTTGTTTTGCCATGTATATTCCTTCGAGGAAACATTTTTTTAGTTCAATAAATATAATTATCTATAATAATAAAAAATAGGGGTTGATCGTTGAGGGGTGAAAAATAGAGTATGTATTTTTGTATGCTGTTTCATAAAAACATAAAAAAAAAAAATTGGGGTGGACACCCCTTATCACTTAGGGGTTTGAAAGATAGATAGTAGCCGATTCTCAGACTTACTGAATAATCATAAAAAAATCATAAGAATTGGTCCAGCCGTTTCGGAGGAGTATGGGAACGAACATTGTGACACGAGAATTTTATATATTAGATTTACTTGACAGGTAATCGAGGTGAGGTAATTTTTTCTGAATTACTTCAGTACTGGGTGAGTTGCTGTCTTGTCGAAGTACGTTGTTTTTCAAATACTTGGAGGTCGTGTTGTAATATAAAATATGGTTATTGTTCTAAAAAATACCGTATATAATGAAATTTATATTGTAAACTAGTTCGTGGGATCATATTAATGTCACCAATTTGCGGTTTCAAATATGATCGATATCGTTTTGTGGTTTCGGTGCTCAGTTTCATTAACTGAAAATGCTTGGGGCTAATTAATATGATCATCTATATTATAAACCAAAGGAATTTAATCGAACCATCGTGTACACATAAACCGTATCGTGTTTATAACGCGTTTATGCGGACCAATTGTAATACTTTTTTCAGTAAAGAATAAGTTTACCCTGATATCAAGTTATTATTTCCTACACGCTCAAATTCTTTAGCACAAACAGCCATCTCCAGGTTCTTTGCATAATTTTAAGTGGCTGTCTTTTGTCTCATAAAATATTAAGGTACTTTAAGAGATAAAAGTGCCGAAGTGAGGCCTTTTTTCATATCGAGCGATTATTGATATATATGGATAAATTAAAATACGTTACATAGCTTAATATAAAAAAAATCAGTGACGCTACAACCTCTATTCGTCATGTCCTCAGATTTCTGAATCTCTTTCATGAACATTTTTAAATTTAATAGGCAAGTAGGTGATCAGCCTCCAGTGCCTGACACACGCCGTCGACATTTTGGGTCTAAGACATGTCGGTTTCCCCACGATGTGTTCGTTCACCGTTCGAGCAAATGTTAAATGCGCACATAGAAAGAAAGTCCATTGGTGCACAGCCGGGGTTCGAACCTACGACCTCAGGTATGAGAGTCGCACGCTGAAGCCACTAGGCCAACAC